CTTAGCTAAAATAAGACAAATATAACCAAATTTAAGATTCAGAATCAGCTAATTTTTTTATTTCGGTCCCCACAACTTTTCATTCTTCCGAACCCTTCAAACAATAGCTGATTCGGAATAATTTCCCCGAAGCTTTTTGTTAATCCGAACTTCTCCATTAAAAAGGGTGCGACATTATTTGGTTTTTGTTGCAGGCAGAATCGTGCGGGGTTCCTTTTGGTGATGTTGTAGGACCGGTAGATAGATCTTGCATGCTGGACGTCACATTGTTGATCGCCGTAGCAACAATTTTTCAGTTGCATGACCACCTCGGTGCATGTCTCTTCGGCAGAAACGGCTGTCGAAGATTGTCTTCCAATGGTTGTGAGCCAACACAGTCAATTAGATTTCCATGACACCATCTTGCATGCACCTGAAAGTGCGCTTTTGAAAGTTGGCCATCTTCAACTTCCAACTGTTGCGATGGGTTCATGCAATGACATCTGGTTGCTCCTGCGAAACTATTGGCCAGTTCTGTTGGGCAACACACTGGAATGGTACGAGTTCGCAGTGTATGGTGACTTGGCTGAAAGGCAAGTTTTTGTATGTGAATTTGGCCGAGGGGCTGGCATCACGCGAAGTCAAACGCTGATGTAGTGTGTGAAAGAAGAGTTTACACAAACCCAATGTCTACCTCGTGTTGTTTGGTTGCGCAACTCAATTGCATGCAATGCTTTTTGTCGTGTAATGAAGCCAAGTCGCCAGACCCGCAACCAACCACCTTGTTCAAGTCTTGAGAGTACTTGTTTCGTTCAACTTGCAGTTGTGTTTTACTTCAAATCCCTCCGAAAATCAGTTTAGAGACCTTAATTAAGCTCAGGGCATTCCATGACAAAACAAACAGCTTTGAATACTAGTTTCAAGGTTGAGCTTTTGAGGTTGCAATCAAGTTCGCAGGGGTTAGATGGAAAAAAGGCGTCACTTTTCTCTTTACTGGGGCCGCATGTTGTAGTCCCCGCGTGTGACGTAATTTCAACAAGCTTGCAAGGATACATGGAGGGCTACATGGAGAAAAACTTCTTCCGCGGATCTGCTCTTGCAACATGGTTGGGTTTTACAGCCACCTTCGCTGCGCGGCCATTGGGGGGAATGTTTCTTGGTATTCTCAGCGATACGCTGGGCCGGAAAGTTGCCGTGGTAGTCACGGTAATTGGCATGCTTTCTGCTACAGTGGGACAAGGACTCCTGCCGACGCCCAGACGGTGGGGGGATGACAGTGCCATGGCTGACATTGGCATAGGTCTCCTATTCAGCCTCCGTTTGGTGCAAGGCCTTTGCACAGGGGGCGAGATCGGAGCTGTAACCACCTACATTACGGAGGTGTCAGCACAGCGGTCCATGGGCCTGTGTGTCGCATTCATCTCAATGACCGCCAATGCAGGCTTCATGTTTGCAAGGCTGGCCGTTTGGGGATTTCAGTCGTATTTGGGTGAGCATGGAATGCTGGATTGGGGATGGCGCTATCCCTTCATTTTGGCCATCGTCCCCGGTTTAATCAGTGTGTGGGGACGGCTGTTTTGCTTGAAGGAATCCGAGCTTTTTGAAGAGGAGCATTCCCACAACTTGTTGGATGAGAGTGGCAGTGAGCTAGAAGATATACCGCGACGGAAGTCAACCAGGCGACAAGTAATGGAATTTGCTTGCACGCATTTTTATGCTGTGCTGATAGGCACTGGGAGTGTCGTGTCTTTTGCAGTGTTCCAATATGGCGGTTTGGTATGGTCAAATTCTTTTCTCAAAAAACATGGTGCTCCTCCGAATTACTTGATGATGGCAGGGACGTGTTCAAGGCTGTTGCAGATGGCTACTGCATTACCAGTTGGGTGGCTGGCTGACATGTATGGGACTGCCTTGGTGATTTTTGCTGGTGCTTTGATTCAGACGCTGGCTGGCTTGCCGCTCTTCATGGCTTTAGCTTCTGATCCTTCAAGTGTTGCAAATTTGTTTGCCACATACACGGTGGCTTACAGTCACTGGACAATCTTAGCTTGCGTTTTGAAGCTCTTAAAGTTTGTTGAAACAGGTAGAGGGTTTAGGCAAGGCCGCATCAGATCCGCTTGCAAGGTGTTGTGGCCAATCTTCAGATCACGATTTATCTGAATTGTGCAGAGCTCTTCCCAACAGCCGTTCGCAACTTGGGAGTCGGAGTGAGTTACAACATTGGCTTTGGATTGTTTGGTGGCTTTGCCCCGCTGGTGGCCGAAGCATCTCTTGAGTGGACGCCCTGTGGACCAGGAATTATGCTATCTTTGGCAGGTTTGGTCACCTGCATGACTATCCTGGCGAGCGTGCGGTGCCAACGTGCGGGCATGCTGCAACTTGCGCACATCCGGCCTCGCCCCTACATGGGGACATGGGCGGATGGAGAAGCGAATGGGGAGCTGGACTTCAAATGAGGATGAGGGGCCACAACTAGAATGCTGTTCTCCCGGTCCAGCAAAGATGGGGCGGCCACATATTGTTTTGAGTCCGAATATGGACTTTCGTTGATGATAGTCCTAGAGCGTTCTCAGTGAGGTGCCAAAATGCGTTCGTGCCAATGGTGCACATTTTGCTGGACAATCCAGCAAGATCTGCCTTCTTCCCCCAAGCTGCAAGGAAACACTGGACCTGATGTGGATGTTGTTGCAACATTGTGAGACAATTTCCGTTGTCATGTGTGGCTCAAGAACATGGCGGCCACATAGATGGAGTCTGATGGATAAGCTGCTGAGGCACAGGTAAATGGTAAAATACCTTCTGGTTTGCTGTCTGCTGAGCTTTAGCGCACAGTTTGGTTGCTTTTGGTCGGCAGGTGTTGCACTGTGGAGCTTTAACCATATGGCCGCCATCCAAGTGTCCAAGCATTAGAGCTGCGCTGAGTCTGTGGGGAATACGGGCAAGTGTGAGAGCTCGTGCGCAGAAGGTTCACGGCAGTTCCATCCTGCGCGTTCGGTGCCTGGAAGCGGTAGAGCTGACTAGACTGCAGCAGCTTTGGCCGTCCGGAGTCTCAGCATATCCCAGGTCCGAATCGAGCCTGGCATTCCCAAGTTGCTCGTTAAGATAAATCCGGCAGATGCCGAATCCTTCCATGCCCCAGCCCTGGTGGTTTGACTTCCACGCATGTGAGAAGTGTGCAGGTGATTCAGAACGGATGGCAGGCTAAGAACCTGGGAGAGGTGATTCTCCGCAAAGGCGTCACAAGCCGTAGTCAGGCCATTCCTCAGAACTTTGCATCTCTTTAAGCGTGGATTCTGACACTCCAGAAAGCAGGTTGCAGTGCTTCACATGAGCCGGGGAACGGCGGCTGGGGAGGTGCACCCGCTTCCTTTGCAATCTCCTTATATAACACCAATACAACCCCAGTATAACCCTATATAACCCCAATATAACCCGTATATAACCCCTATATAACCCGTATATAGCCCCTATATAACCCTACATATTTACAATCTCTGTTATAACACCTATATAACCCTATACATTTGCAATCTCTGTATACTTCGTTTGCGTATAGCTTCTCGCTATAGCAGAGCCACCTGATGGAATCCACTATGGGTTTAATTGCAGCCCTTGGTCTCATGTGTAGGACTGGTATGTAGTATCCCAAAATAGGGGGCCCCCACCCCCTGGAAATCCTGTAATCTCTATTGTTGGGACCCCCAAAATGGTACGTACCCGTAATGTGGGGGAAGCCCTAGACCCTGAACCCTATATAACCCCTTTTTCACCCTACGTATCTCCATCTAACTCCGATATACCCTTCTAACTCCGATATACCCTTTCAAGGTACCACGAATTCAATGGGAAACCCTGACAATAGAGATGAACGCGGCTCCGGCATCTCAAGCTTTTTGTATGGAGGGTTTGCTGCCCCTTCTGGGTCAGGGTCTCTCGTTCATACAGTGGGGTTCGGCACATTCTTGGTACGGGTTGGCCTGCCCTGCTCATTGCCAAGGTAGTGTTGTGGTTCTCACTTTTGTTTTCTGTTCAGGTTTGGGGAGTGGGTTTGTGCTCTGCCTCTGGGTCTTTCGCTTTTACATACTTAGACCTCTGGGTCCTGACCCCCCTTCACACCCTGAACCTGTGTCTGGCCGGCCGGCCCCGCATCACTTTCGTTTGAGGGCTTACGCCCTGAATGAGCCGCGACCTCAGTCAGGCCATATCTGAAGTCCAGGCTGCTCTTGAAAGGTTGCGGATTGCAACCGGCTCTGCCGCTGCTGCATCTGCGGCTACTGACTGGGAGGTTGTGTCAGAGCCAGGGCCGGAGGTTGATAGGGATCATAGGGTTCCTAGACCCCCTCTTAGGGCCACCCTTTCCGACCCGGAGCCCGTGCCTTCGCGCCATTCCGGCGCTGCTGCATCTTCCTCGGCCCCCGTGCCTCAGACCAGGTCTGAAATTGCCTCCTCTTTCCCTGACTGTCCTCAGTACTGCCTGGATCTGTGCCGCACTCTTTCATCTCCTGCCTTGCCTGCCGAGAGCCGAGCAAGGAGAGCTTGGACCTGTGGCTGTTGGTTCAAAGCGGTCTTGGAAGGGCGTGTTGCAACGCCATCTCCTGCTCCTGTGTTGGCTTTGCGCCCTACTGTGTACATTGTGCTGCGGGCTCCTGCTGTCAACGCCCCCTGCCGCTTCTCTACCTTCACCAGCTTTAAGCGCGTGGTCGGTAGCCTGGAGGGCACCGACACTCTGTGCCAGCTTCCCTTCCGCTGCCGACACCAAGCTCTTTTGCTACGCCGTCGGCATCCCTTTCAACAGCCTGCAGCAGAGATGAGGGTGGAAGAGCTGGGGATATCAGAAGGGAGCTTGGGCTCCCCTTGTGTTCTGAAGTGGCCTCCTGGCCCGAATGTGTCGGAATCCCGAAGATTCCTCTGCACGCCTGTCTTTTTGAGGACTGGAGGCCTCCTCCTGGCCTTGCCCCCAGATTTTGCAAACATCCTGGAGGCAAATGCCGTGGACCCTGCACCGTCCCCTCTGCCTGGCCCCTTTCAGATGGCCGCTGTTCCCGCCGCAGAAGAGGACGAGGCTGGAGAAGAGACTTTAGCTGGCATGGACCTTCCTTTGGTCCTGGCAGATATGGACGAGGCCGTCCTCTTGTCCATCCGGTGACGGATATAGGATCTCTAGAAACGTTCCTAGGGGAAATGCCCCACTTGTTTCCGGCAAGGGAAGCTTTGCTAGATGCCGCGAGAGTGGGCTCTGCCGTATGTGTCTGCGCAGGAAGACATTCCTCCTCAGGGGGCGGCAGCTGCGAAGAAAGCTGCAGCAAAGAAAAGAGTCACAACCGCGCAACTCGCGGACCAAGTGTCGGCCTTGGCCACGGTCCTTCCGGAGCTGATGGAGCAGATGAAGCAACTGAGTGCCCGCCAAGACAGGGTCGAGAGGGAGCCCCCTCCTGCCCGGGAGTCGGCAGCCTTGCCACCTCAGCAGCAGCCTTTTGCCGTAGCCGGCGACGCCTCTGGATCGCCCGCTCTGGGTTCTCTTGCAAGGAGCCTTCCGCCGCCTGGCCGCACAGCAGCAGCTCCAAAGCAAGCACCTCCCTCTGCCGCTCCTTTGGAGGAGCTCGCCGTTGCCTCTCCCCACGACCAAGCCTTCTTCCTCTCCATGCTCCAGAATGCACATCGCAAGATGTTCCCTGATCTGCCCATGCCTGCCAGTGTGGAAGAGGTGAGGGACCAGGGGCGCCTGTCCCTGGTGTCCTACTTGGAGCGTTTTGGCGGGTACGCGCACTGCGGGCCTGGTGCTGCTGCTCCTGGCCTACGGGGGATGCCCTTGCCCAGGGCGACGCGAGAGGAGCACAAGAGCATCTGGCATTGGCCGGGATGAGTGTAGAGCAGGCCGCCTCCAACGGGGGAAAATGGGACCTCGCTTTCTTGTGCAAGAGCCGTCGCCCACACTCTTCCAGGCCCGGCCGTCAGCGGCCAGCACTCGAAGCCAGCCTTTCTCACCTCTGGTCCCCGGAAACCTTGGCTCGGTGACTCTGGCCTATGTGCGGGAGATCGATCTCCTGTCGCAGCGTCGGAAGGACGCCGTTGGGAGAGCCTGAGAAGGGGACCGTCCCGAAAGCAAGTCCCAGCCCAAAAGGAAGTTCAGGTACCCCCGGAAGCCGAAGACCCAGAGGCAGGAGTGAAGGTTGTGCCGGCTTCCGGGCCTTCCCTCCTTAAGCCTGTTCGGTGCTAATGTGCCCTCCTCGCAACCTCACCCTCCTGCACATCCATCCATTAAGCCTTGCGTGCCTGGACCTGCCGGCTGCTAAGTCACCCGGGGGTTCGGACACGCCCCTCTCTTTCAGGGCCTGGTCCCTTCGCGCACATTTAAAGGTGTTGCGATCACGCACTCCTTTTGAGGGTTTTTTAGCTTCCACTTTGCATCTTCCCCCGTGCAGGCGCCCGCCCCCGGCTGACGCTCTCTTTCCGCTGCCTGTGCCTTGTGTTGGGGCTTTTGGCCGGGAGGCCAGCTTTGCCTCCTCCCAGCGTCGCTCTAAGCGTGGCTGCCAACGGCTCCTGCACCTGGCCCTAAATTTCGTGTACCATGACATGGCCTTTGTTCCGCCAACCGGGCCCAATCCGCCTGCCTGCGCTACCTCGGCGCTTTAGTGAGGACGTTCGGTAGTGACCAGGAGGGCGGAGACAGGAGAGGGCCAAATGCAACGGAGGCCCGCGTACGAGGGCCCAGCGCTTTCCTGCCTACTGGCGAGGCTCTGTGTGCTCTCTCCCTGGATGCTTCGCGGCGTGCCTTTGCCATATGCCTGTCGGATCGCCGGACTTCTACCATCAGCTTGCCGTCCCTGTCGAGAGAGCCCGCACCAACCGGCTCGAGTCCTCCCTCTTCAAGGAGATGCAGGGGTTAGGCTTCGTGGCGGCCCTACCTCTCCGGGGCGACTTCCTATCCAAGCTTCCGCCGAGGGCAAGGACGCGGCTCCCCCGAGGGCCGCAGGCAGCCACTGCCAAAAGAAGTCCAAGTCTGTTTCCGAAGCATACTCCAAGGGGACCATCTCGCAGTGCAGATGGCCTGCTCGGCCCATGAGGGCCTCCTCCAGGCCTACAACCTCCTTCACCCTGAGCACCGTGTGTTGGGGAGGGTCCCCCTGTGTGACCAGAGCTTCTACGATGGGCTCGTCATCGACGACTATTTTTGCGTGTCGAAGATCAGCCGCCAGCTTGCTGCCGACTTGGGGCCGACGACGCCTACCGAGGCGCAGTCCATGTTGTCCAGGGCTCTGCTTGCCTACAAGGACCATGCAATCCTTGGGGCGCCTGAAAAGGACCAGGTCAACCTTACGAGGGCCAAAGTTGCCGCAGCTGAGGTCGATAGTTCGGAGCGGGGTTGCAACAGTCTCTGCCCCGAAGCAGAAGAGGTTTGCCCTTATGAACATCTCCTTTGAAGCCCCGACACCCTCTGGTGCTCGCTTCTGGGAGGATGGTCCTCTGCTTTGGCCTTCCGGCGCCAGGCCTTCTGCTGCCTTGACGAAGCATTCCGCCTTGCCCCCTCGGCCCTCCTAGACCCTAGTTCCCCTAAGCTTCTTAGTCTCCCCCGTAAGGTTGTGCAAGAGGTTACCCTATAACGGCATGCCTCAGCCCCATCCTGGTTTCTGATATCGCAGTGCCCTGCCTTCCGCAGCTCTTTGCCACGGACTCATCAGAGGCCAAGGGAGCTTTTGTTTCTGCTGCTATCTCCCCAGAGCAAAGCCTTGCTCTCTGGAAGGCCTCGGACCGCAAGGGTGCCTTCTGCCATGTGGAGAAGCCGAGTAGGAGCATTCTTCGTGCAAAGGACGTCTCTTGGGAGGAGCCAGCGCCTGCCTTTGAGCAAGTCGTTGCTGCCCCCTCTCGTCCTCTTGCATACCACTTTGATTTCCTCAAGATATTTTCAGGGGCTTCGGTTGTGACGGCCGAAATGGCCCGCCGAGGCCTTGTCTGCGGCCCTCCTCTGGACCTGGACAGGTCCCCGGCCTATGATGTCTCCAACCCCCGCCTTCTCGAGTGGGTTTTTTTCCTCATTGAGAACGACAGGGTCGATCTGATCCACCTTTCCCCTCCGTGTACTACGTTTTCCGCTGCAGCCTACCCGCCAGTAAGAAGCAGGTCCCAGCCTCGGGGTTTTAGCCCCGATTGTCTCAAGACCAAGCAAGGCACCTTGATGGCCCTCCGTGCCATGGCCATCCTCTTTAAGTGCCTTCTTTACTGTGTCATGGCCTCCTTGGAGCAGCCTCGCTCTTCGATCATGGCTGCCTTGCAGGAGTGGGTGCGCCTCCTTTGCTTCATGGCCGCAGGCGACTACTGGACTTCCTCCTGCGCCTTTGGGTCGAAGCACCAGAAACAGTTCAGGTTCTTAACTGCCTGGCTTGACCTGACTGCCCTGCACCGCCCATGCACCTGCGCTGCTGAGCTCGACGTGGCTGGCCTCGAGAGGGCCTCCTCTTCTGCCCTTGCCCTGGGACTCCGCTGGCAGACTGATGCCGTATGGCGCTGGCCAAATCCTGTCCACATAAACATCCTCAAGTCCTCCACCATCTGCCGCCTCTTTCTTCGCCTGGCCTGCCTTCATGGCCCCTGCCGCTTTGCCTACCTTTGCGACTCCAACGTGGCTCAGCTTGCCATTGGAAAGGGGGTCGGGCAGTGGGCTGCGACATGTGTGCCGCCGTTCCTCCTGCATAAGCCTTGCTGCAGGTCTTTACCCGGGCAGCCTTTTCTGTCCTACTCGTCTCATGCCGGCCGACCACCCCACGAGAGATGCCCCCATACCCGAACCCGTGCCTGCTCTACCTCCTGAGTTCTGGACCCCCCAGAGAATCCTGTGCGACGCAGCGAGGCCTCGGCTTCGCAAGTGGGCTGCTAACTGGGCCCGTCTGGCTTTTGCTTGATACGCGTGCTTGCTCGCAT